CGTCATTTGTGATCTCCAGCAGTTGATCTTCTTCTTGCACAGACCTGCTGGATTCACCTGGTTTGTTGACAAATGGGTTGCGGATCCATTCCTTGGCAGTTCGTGGGTCCTTTGTGGTTGGGAAGTAGCGCTCAAATTCTTTTAAAAGCAAAGACAGGTGATCGTGCACCAGCTGGGAGAATGAAGACTCAGGCTCAGTGTCACCCCAAATCCCCGCTAATGTTTGAAACATGTCCAAAATGCCTCTGTTGACGCGCCGTCCCCACAAATCCAGTTTGGCTTTAAATGCAGCTACTTTATCTGCCAACTTGAAGACAGTTGTCATTTTCCCCTGAAGTGACAGATTGAGTTCATTGAGCAGGCTGAATATGTCCACAAGTAAGCCAGTTTTGGCACTCAAGTGACCGAGATGTAACCGAGAGAATGCGGTCATTTTTCAAAATAAAAGATCGTTCAGACTCAGATAATAAATAAAACGGAAATAATTAATGATTTCTTGTGCGGCCCGGTACCAATTGATCCACGGACCGGTACCGGTCCGCGGCCCGGGGGTTGGGGACCACTGGTCTACAGCACAGACCAACAAGTTAATTCAGGACTGACACCATTGAAAGACATTAACTGTGAGTAGAGGCAATTCACTGTCAGCCTTAGTCTATGTATGGAGACTGCTGAAAATACTATTAATATGGGAAATGATGGGCCTTATTCTTTGATAAAGCCCATCAGAGCCATTAATTAGAACCACTGGCCTGAGGGTTCTGCACAGTACCTATCCAATATTTAACAGACAAGACCTAAAAATTACCTGAAGGACTTTGTTCTTCTTACACCATGTGACAAAATGTTCCCGGGCAGCCTCCTGACTCCTTTGATCAGTCTTCTTGTAATAAACCCTGGCGAACTTCTCTGAAAAGGACTTTGGCAGAAACTTGCTTTGAAATACCTGGCAAGAACAACAGCAGCATAGATTTGAGTATAATGTTGTAACTTTTTTTGTGAAGAAATACTGTACACTCAAAGAATAAACAACTCCTAAAAAGACATAAGCCTTTGGATGTGATTTATTCCTCTAGGAGAGATGAGGGATTTCAACATTACCTGTGCTGGTCAGTGATTTTAATCCAATCTGGAGCTAATTTACAGGCAACTATCATTGGATTATTTTGATACTGAAGAAAACTTAAAAATGAGATGATTATCAGGTAAGATTTGAACTTTTTCTATGATTTCTAGGATGTTTATTCACAATGAAAATTTGAGATAATGATATCTGAAATACAACAACTGTAAGGTGCAGTGAATATCAGTGTAGCTTTTATCTTTGTGTTAAGATTTGACTGTGTTATGACTATCTCTCACACAGTATCTGCCTTGCATTTCTCTGTTCACACGACCTCTTCAGGTCTCCTCTTGGCTTTACCCAATGGCATGTCAGTGTCTAAGCTACTACAGATAATATAATTTCTCAGTGGCTAAAATACCTTCTGCAACAATGAGTTAAACTACCAAGAAGCACAGTAAATATGTTATTCCTCACCTCCCCTTGTGATGTTATTTGAAAGGGGTTTAAGCTTATAATAATTGTTGTCATTGCTTTAGTTCTGACCTTCTCTATGTTGATTTTGAATGCCCTGGTAGGGTTATCCTTGTTGTAGAAATACATATTGTCAATGGGGTTCTTGTCCTTCATCCCATAGTCCATTTCAATGAGCTGAAAGAGATGGGTGAGAGAGAAGTTTGTTTTATAGTCACAAGTAAATAATACCATAACAGACATAATTAACAGTTTCCATATCAATGATTTTAAGAAAGGTGAAGTGAAGGTATTTAGACGTAAAACTCACTAGAATGTCAAAGTCCTCTGGCTTCAGCTCGACATCAGTGTGACTGTTTGAGGCTTTAGCCAATTCCTTTTTCCATTCGGGGAACATGTTCTGAGGGACGGAGGAGGAAGGGTGATAAGAGGGAGGGACAAGACGAGAGATTTATTCCATTTTGATAATGCACTGGAAGAGGATGTCCACATTAAGCTGTTAAATTTCTGTTTTGCTTGGTTTTGGCTTTCTGTTCATACTAAAATTGTGTTTTTCACAGTCAGTAATGGAACTTTCTACAGTGTATATACAGTATATCTTAAAACACCAACTTGGTGTTTGCAAAATTCTGGCACAAGCACATGCATATTTGTCAACCTGTATTTAAAGTATTCAGGTTTGTTTCATTGTCTCAGCCAACAATAATTGACAAATATATAAATGAGAGCAATTATACTGTGACTCTGACTGTTTAAACACAAGAAACAGGAAGGGACTGAATGGAGGTTTAACAGGCTGGCACTCGACAGAGTAACTAACTGTTTGTAGCTGTTCAGCCACAGTCAGCTGTGTGGGAGTAAAGTTAAGAATACAGCTTACTGTTATATCCTGTGTTCACTTATTTTAAAGGTTGATGCAGCATAGCAACAAAGTTTTACAACAAAAAAAAAATGAACATAACATCCAGCTTTGTTAAAACAAAATCAGTTTTCAAAACTGTGATTGAAGTATTGAGTGTTCAAACAGATAATGTGACAAATGGGAGTGCACACCTCGTCAAATTTTTTAGGCTTTATTTCACCCAAACACTTGGGGATGCGTCGAGAAATGATCCTTTCTAGAATTTTCTTGGCTTCTTTCAGCTCATCCTTTGGGGAATTGAATATTTCTTCAAACACTTGATCTACAAGACAGAGTGGAAGATGGATCATCTACTGTAGAACAAACCCAAGACAAGCCATAACTCACAAAACTAAGCAACATAAAGCTAATAACAAACCATATTTTCAAAAAAGTTGGGACATTTTCCAAAACGCAATAAAAACTGTGATTTGTTAACTTGCTTGAACATTTATTTAAAGAGCCCATGGCATGTTTTCCCTTGTTTTCTGACTTATCTACAATGTTACTGCAGTGAATTATCATCTTAGACATGACCTAAACCTCAATAAATGAGGTGTACATATGTTCTAGTATTTCAATGCAGAAGCAACTCGGTTTATACACCTTTTGCAAACTCTCGCTCGTAATACGTGATAATTTAAGGACTTGCTTAAATGGGCATAATCTCCAGACAGCTGCGCATTCAAGTGAGCTTGCCTGACATCCACTGGGGCCATTTTAAAAGCAGAATTTTTCGACTGCGCCTGGATTTGTAGATATATTTTTATATAGTTTTTGTGGAGAAAAATACAGGGCCTGAGGTTACTGCATGCTCATTTAGAGGGACTCACTGTTTTACCTGACCAGGTCTAACCTACAAACACCCGGCCAGTGAATCCCTTCGTGGCGATGAATGATTAGCTCATCAACACTGGATTCTCCCGGGGCACAGTACCTGTTTGTTTGACTGCTTGAGGCCAGTGTGTCTGCTTTATGTGGTGTGTTGCTGGTTAATATACAGTGCCTTGCAAAAGTAT